CCCCAAAACCCCAAAACCCCATCGAAGCTTTATTTAACAGTGATTCATAAATAGAAAAATAGTATTTTAATAATTAATTTATCGTCATTTATATAAATTATACGTCACAAGTTTTATTACGATACGAATGGAATCAAACAAGACATCACAAGAACAAAAACCTAAAGTTGGCAGCATTAAGAATAAGATTGTTGCCCAAGACCTTGAGGAAGAGAGAAAGAAGGCAAACTTCGATATCAAGGAACTAACAGAAAGCTATTTCGGGGGTAAAGAGAAACTTGAATAGCACAATGATCACATCTCTGTCATGGAAAATGACCCAATTCTCAGAAACACCGAGAAATGGTATGATATGACTAGAGAGGAATAAATCGAGCATAATTTCAAGAGAGCAAGAAGAACTTATGAGATAAACAAAGAAAAGTACTACCACAATTACGAAGTTTCATATATACCATGGTTCTCAGCCATGTTCTAAGGAATTGTAAGTGACTGGCCATTACAGATTAACTTACAAAATTTATAGTTCCCATTTGGACTCACAATGAGCATGTTTTCTCTATGTATTCAATAGCTAGGTGATGACGAGCAAGTTGCCAAATGGCTTCCCCTTGTTAAGTAAATGAAGATGATTGGTTGCTATGCTTAAACTGAGCTAGGTCATGGATCAAATGTCGCTGTAATTCTAGAATAGGTCTAATATTTTTAGGGACTAGAAACCACTGCTACTTTTGATAAGGAAAAGGATGAATTTATCCTTAATTCACCAACAATCACATCCACTAAATTCTGGCCAGGTGAACTTGGTAAGTTCGGTGGATGGGCAGTTGTCTATGCCAAGATGATCATTAATGGAAAAAATCACGGAGTCCAGCCATTCATGCTTCAAATGAGAGATACAGAGACATATGAAACTCTTCCAGGAATAGAGTGTGGAGATATCGGCCCTAAATTTGGGTATGCAAGCAAAGACAATGGCTACCTTATCTTGAAGAATGTTAGAATCCCAAGATCCAATCTTCTCCAAAGATACGTGAATGTTGACAGAGAGGGTCACTTCACTATTAAAGGTGACTTGAGATCACTCTACTCCGTTATGATGTTCATTAGAGTAAGTATCGCTATTGGAGCTGCTAAAACCCTTGGCGTTGCCCTTACTATTGGAACAAGATACGCAGTTGTAAGAAGATAATTCAGTACCTAAGATGGAACTAAGATTGAAAGAAAATTGCTAGACTATCAAACTCATCAATTTAAGTATACACCTCTGCTTGCATACACTTATGCTTTCAATTTCACCAGTCTTGCTCTTATGGAAATGCACTAACAACTTCTTAAGGATATGAAGACAGGCAACTTTGGGTTACTAGACTTAGCTCATCACTTGTCATCTGGATATAAGGCTTCTTATACCAGAATCTGCTATGATGGCATTGATACTATAAGATAGAGCTGTGGAGGTGCAGGTTTCTTAGCCTGGTCAGGTCTTCCAACCCTTCAAACTGATTATGCTCCTAACACAACTTTTGAAGGTGACAACACTGTCATGCATCAACAATCAGCTAGACTAATCTTGAAAACAATTAAAAATATCCAGAGAGGATTTAAGCCAACTGGTATATTTGACTACTTCAACAAATTTGAGGAGCTCTTAAGCAAGAAAGGTTAAGTTAAGGGATCTGCTGATCTTTTATGTCTAGTTAACCTTGAAAATGCTCTAGCTGTTAGATCAGCATTCAAGATCAAGACTACTGCCATGAAGATGGCCACTTCTTAACTGTCAGAAAACGAGAAAGCTAACTCAGCATTCTCAGTTGATATGGTCAGCATGGCTCATGCTCACATTATGTATGTTACATTCAAATACTTCCTAAACCACATTGAAAATCACCCTTACAAATGCCCTAAGGTCAAAGAAAACCTCAAGAACTTAGCCAGGGTTTATGCTTTGACTGAACTTCTTTAAGATTCTGTATCTCTCTATGAAACTGGGTTCTTCACTGTGGGAAATGCTCAACACCTCCTTGAAGCCTAAAAGGAGGCTATAGCTATAGTAAGACCACAAATGATTCCATTAGTAGAAGCCCTAGCTGTGCCTGACAGTTATATTGTCTCAGCCATTGGAAACTCCTACGGTGATATTTATGAGTAAGATCATTTGATTTATAATACGTAATTTTAGGACTTAACTAGAATGGGCTAAAAACAGTAAACTCAATTAGACCAGTGTGCTACCTGGAATCAAAGAACACATATTACCAATCCTTCATGGAAAGTTATGACTAAAATATTATCAAAATTGATATTAAATTCCTTATTTAATCGATTCACTCACAATTTTAGCAAACATTCAATTTTACGGGGTTTTGGGGTTTTGGGGTTTTGGGGTTTTGGGG